TGAATTGGACCCTTCCAACGGAAAGGAGAATGGAGAGAGCGCTAGATAAAAGAGGGGAAATATATTCATGTCTGCTGGTGGGGAAACACTGTAGTGACTGGGATCCAGGTATAAATAATATGGGGTGGCATGAAGTTCACTGGGTCTCCATGAACCCAAAGGTCCATTATAAATTCCAAGCATTGGGGAGGGTCTGGCATAGCTGTTTGATTTTGAGAGGCACAACGCAGATATTCTCTGGAAAAATGTATATAGAGAGCTCATAGGGGCAGAATCTTTTTAGATGAAGAATAGCCCCCCTCCCAAACAGCTAAAACAAAGAAAATAGAAAGGCAAAGAAGGAGTTTTTCTGTAATTGTCCACTCAAGAGGGCTTACAGAATATACTCCTACCCTGAGGACCAGAGATAGAAGGATCCTAAGGAGGCCAGTAACCAGTATAAACTTATAGTCATTACTTATCTTGAGATGGAGAGGTGTCTTTGGTTTAAACAGAAATTTAAGATCTTCTAGTGGCTCACAGGTATAGGAGTCAGGGTCCTTCTCCTTCTCTGCATCTTGATTTTAAGGATTCCTCTCCTTCATTCCATTGTTTGACTCTCAAGTGGTGAATCCAGGAGTCTATTCCCATCCCTTTTATAGCCACTGAGGTGGACGGGATCACAGTTTAAGGTCTGTCCCAGGTGGGACCTGAAGAAGGGAAGAGAGATGGGAGAGAGGTAACCAATACCACATCCATAGAGTGTAATATGGGGCACCTTCACTGTCTTGGGTGGGCCTTTAGTAAATTCTGTAAGGTTTGTTGGATTTTTCTTGGTGACATTATATCCCATATTGGTCAGAGGAATCTTTGTCTAATAAAAGTTGTTGTTAAGGAATGGGTATTCGTATAACACATAAAGACTCAGGCCCATAATAAGGCAATGGGGAATAGAGTGGGCCAGGATAGGTGTGTCTCCCAAGTCTCCGAAGATGTGTGTTAAGAAGATCATTAACCTTTTCTACTTTTCCTGAGGACTGTGATCTCCAGACACAATATAAGTGATATTGGATTCTTAGCGCCTTGGAGACTCCCTGAGTAATAGCAGTTTTGAAGAAGAGACTATTGTCACTCTATAGACTCCTAGGAAGTCTAAATCTAGGAATGATCTCAGAGACTAAAATTCGTGCTACTTCAGAAGCTCTCTCAGTTCTACAAGGGAAAGCTTCCACCCAGTTAGCAAGTGTGTCTATCCATACCAGGAGAAATTGTGTTCCCTTGGTCTTCAGCATGTGAGCAAAGTCTACTTGCCAGTCTTCTACAGGGTGTTTGCCCTTTCTTTGAATACCTGGAGGAAAGAAAACTATATTATTTAGAGTACTCCAACCACAGGTTGATTTAAAGACAAGAGAGGATCGACCACGTGTCTACCATCCCTAGGGAATGGCAAGATGGCACTGACCATGTGGCTGTCATCCTTATACAATTGTAAAAATGACTGTCACAGGGTAGGACCACCTGAAAAGGTATGGTGGTTCCATCATGGCAGCAGCATTTCCTGTGACTATATGATCTCTCCAGAAGGGTTTTACATGAAATATACAGCCATGTTATATGCAACATACAAGCTTCACATAGAAATCTGTTATAGGAATAAAAGACATCTCCCACTGACAGACAGATGTTACTGTCCATATAAGGTAGACATTAAGGCACCTCAGGTCATCTTTCTATCTCTGGCAGTCAGGCTACAAACTTTCCCCCTAGAAGACTGAGAAAGAGGTAAAGGGGATTTTCCTGGAGGTTTTGGAACTCCCAACAATCCTAGAGAGTGTCTTCAGTTTGGATCTGTAAGGAAGTTTTCTGTATCCAGACATCTTGTCTTTAGAATTGGCTTAGCTACATGTAGCCTTCCTTCTGTATGACATTCCTCTAGCAGTCATGTCTCTGTCCTGTATAAGGAGGTTTGGGCTGGATTCAGAGTCCAGACTGCCAATGAATGCCCAGGGCAAATTAAGGCGGGATAGGTCTTTGGCTTGGAGAGGTGCCTGGCAGCTGAAGGGGAATTGCCTGAAGAACAGCTAAGAGATGGGGAAGAGGCTGGTTTGTAAGTACAGCCTCTGCTTCTTGGTTTGTCTGTCCTGCCTCTGAGGTCTGGAGGGAGGGAGCTGTTTCTCCATTGCTGCATGAGAAGCCTTTCTGGGAGGGAGGGAAACCATCAAAGGGAGGCTGCATGGGCTGCTGTAGCTTTACAGAGAGGGAGAAAGAGAGAGAGAGAGAGAGAATGAGCATAAGCATTTCCCAGATGTCTGCAGGCCATCTGGAGGCATGGCTCTCTCTCACAGCAAGAGGCAGTGGAAGGAGGGAAGTGAGGCGTGTTTGAGAGAGGTCAAAGCCTTTGCTTCACCTTGGTTTTCCTCAAGAAGTGTCAGTGGACACCACAGCCTAACTCACACAGCTGGGACATGCAATTTTGGGGTCTTAGGACAGACCCATATGTCAATGTGGTACAAGGTGCCTTTCCTGCCAGCAGAGTGCAGCACAATCAGAGTTGCAAGAGGACAACTGAATCTCAATTTTCCAAGTCCACTGATGGCATTTAACATGGAAAAAAAGAATGAGAAAGAAGGTAAAGAAAACAAATGTTAAAAATGACACTTTTAAAATATAGGGTCTGAAGAACTTCTGGCTCAACTTTGCCAAATGTTGTCACTGACAATGTCACTGACAAACAGAAAATCCAGATTCTTATATCCTACATGCATGCCATCCATGCAGGGTATGTAGAGGTAGTGAGGGTGATGATAAAAGTGTTTGGTTTTTTTGTTTGTTTATTTATTTATTTATTTATTTTGTGGTACTGGGCTTTGAATTCTCAGCTTCATACTTACTAGTCAGATGCTCTAACCCTTGAGCCACTCCACTAACCCAAAAGTTTATTAAAGGTTAGGGGAAAAGTTCCAAAGCAGTCATGGTGGGCTACTTCCAAGATAGAAGCAGAGACAGAGGCTGTCTCCAATAGCTTTCAAGCTGTGGGGAGAATCTGGGTGTACTTTCGCTTACACTTAGCTAATTTTCAGGTATGCTAAGTTCATTCAGGAGGAAATTTGCACTCTTTCTAGTTTAACAAAGGATTTGCAATTGAAAAGGAGTTCTCCGGGCTCTGAGATGGGAGTCTAACCTGAGATTCTCTAAAGTAAGCTACACAGTTTGAAAAGTCTCAAACTTTCCCTAATTCCTATCTGCCTCAGCAGGAGGTGGGGCTAGCTGCTCTACCTTTTCAATTTCTACTTCCTAGTTCCAATGTCTGAGTCTGACCCTTTATATTTATTAAAATAATAAATTTCCCTGTCTCTTCATCTATCTGTCTTGTCTCACCCATCAATGATGACTAACTGCTACCTTACTGTATCACTGAGCCATGTTCACAGCTTCATTAACTTTTGAGTTAACGATAGAATTACATTGGTTTGTCAGCCTCTCACACACTTGTATACCAGAACCTTACTCAATTTTCAAGATTCCCCCTTCTACCTTCTGAAATTGCCACGGATATCATAGCCACTAGTCAGCAGTTTGGTACTAAGTCTGGGCTGCCTGTTGCTGCTAGAGTTCTACTTCCACCTGTCAAACACCACTCAGGTCATAAGTTGCTGCTAGCTGCCATCACTGCCTGATCCTCCTTTTCTTCTTCTTCTTTCCTCCTCCTCCTCCTCTTCGTCCTCGTCCTTCTCTTTCTCCTTCTGCTCTTCCTCCTCTTCTTCCTTCTATTTTCTTGGGGGGTTGGGGCACAGGGTCTTTCTATGTAGCACGGCTGACCTGGAACTTGAAATCTCCTCCTCAGCTTCCTGACCACAGGCATGCTTCCCTTCTGCTATGGCCAGCGTGACTCTGCTCAGAACCTCTCATAAACATGAGGTTGCTTTTATTCAAACTGAGATCTTTTTCCATAGGAAATAATTGATGTTGATTAAATATGATCCCTCCTTCAAGCTTGAGAGTACCCTAAGTGCAAATAACACATAAAAATTATTATTTTCCCATTTATTTCCCCAGATAAAGGCAAGCTTTCAACAGATTTTTTTTGGCAAGGAGGAAGCTAATCTTCCTGTTCAATAGAATTCCCGTAAATCCCAGGTGGTTTAGGAAAACAAAAAGCAAATGAGAAAGAAAAGAAAAACAAAAACAAAAACCTGTCCTGTGGGGATTATTACTCATTTTTTTTCTTAATTTAATAACATCCTGACTATTTCGGATTGTTTGGGTATCTAAATGTGTGTGTTTAAACCATTAAGCAAGATTTGTTGACAAGGGTGAGGACTTGTTGGCTAGTACACGTTTACTTTCAACCAGGAGCAAACATTTTCAAAATGGTGTTTCTGAAGTTCTGCAGTAAGTTCCTAGGTAGCATGACAAATGAGGCACCATGCGAATTTTTTTAGTGGCAACATGGCCAGATGCTGCCATCCAGATGAGGAGAAAAGCAGTCAAAAACTAGAATCTACTCACTCAGCTGCCAGTCTGATGAAGAAACGAACTCTACCCCTACAGCAAAAGGGTTTGGCTAGTTGGTATTAAGGATCTCTATTTAAACTGACTCCATTGCCTAATTTGTATCTAGGGAGTTTCCACACTCATCAGAGCTGGAAGGGACCTCAGACATTGCCACAGGAACCTTCTCAAAATGCAGAAGAAGACAAGCAAGGGGAACACACCTGTTTAGTGACAGGGGCAGGAAGTTACCTTACGTCAGGATACTGACCCACACCTAGTCCTTTCCATCAAACTTAACTGCTTACTTCTAGTCAAGCAGTAAAGGACAGCATGTCTACTTTTATTTAAAGCAGGAACTTACCCAAGGTGCCAAGATATCTCTGAATTTGTCATCAGTTTTGTTTTGACTTCCAGATGGGTAAATACCAAACACTCTCATGCATAATTCTCTTGTCCGTACCCAGATGCAGGACAAGTACTCCAAAAGTGGCAATTGCTTGCTTCTTAGAGAAAGTACATTTCCTGGGACCCCAGTGATGAAGAGGCCTCTGAACAACCCTTGCTGGCAGGTCAGACGGCAAGTACGGCAACTCATTAGAAAGGTAAGTGGTTTCAAAAGGCAGGTTAAATCTCGGAGGAGAAAGAGTTTTTAAAATCTCCCCCATTCTGCTCATGCACATCCTGTTGGGGCCAGAGTGTGTTAAGTAATTTTCCCCAATTTCAATAGGCTGCAAGTGGCAAATGGCAGGTCCTGATTTCGAGTCCACTCCTGTACCCCAGACAGCCTCCTCCTCTGTCTGACCTTTTCACCTTATTTTGTGGAAACTGAGGCACAGACAGGCAATGTGTTCAAGGTTTCACAGTAATAAAAGACATGTGTGATTTTCACTTTCACTCAGAAGACAAGAGGACAAACTGATGTTTTTATATTCATATTCTTTCTACTTTGTTGATCTCTGGAATTAAGTGTATACTTATTTTGGGTATATGCACAGAGATGAAGAAAAGGGGAAAGATTGAGGAAAAAAGATAACTTTGAGAAACTGGAAGGAGATGGTTTCTCAGTTCAACAGTCAATAGATGACAAATTATAAAAATGTATTGGTGTATGGAAGCTGCTTAAGCAGGGATCTCTGGCAAAAACTCTGGCATTGGATCACAGATCATTTTGCCCAATGTAATTAACTAATTGTGACTTTTAGATCAAATAAAATCAGTTTCTTCTCCAGCTGCTTTCCTTCTTTGTAAAATGAATTTTTACATATTTGCCTTTTACCAGTCTGAAAAGACAGCTCAGATATTAAAAATACTCTGTAACTAAGATGCCCAGTATATATCATCATTGTTTAAAGATGTACTAGGGGAACTCCAGGTAGGGAGAGGCTGTTTTTAGCACGTTTATAAAGTTTCATTGTTTGGGTGCTCAGCTTTGCCACTAGAAAGGGAAATAAACTCCAGTGTAGAACTTTGAGTGGCCTCCAAGTAGAGCTAAGACTTTACCCGTGATGCTTTTCTATGAAAATGAACTTGAACACAGTTGCCTCCCAGGGCTGCCCTAGAAGTGGGGCGCAGGGCTCTGTGCACAGTTATACTGAAGCAGCTATGGCAGTTACTGTGTGTGAACAGCCCAGGCTTTCTGAGGAAGGTCAGACAACAGAGCTCTGAAGTCCTTGTGCTAGGGGTGAGGACTGGGAACAGCAGGTAGAAGACATGGAACTAGGGTAGACATCTGGAGGCTGAGGAGTGAACCATGCTTAGGCTCAAGGTGGGAGATAAGAGACAATAAGGGGGGATGGATTTTACAAGCACTTACCGCAATATTTCTCTCCTTCTTTTCATTGTGGCCAACTAGATAGGCTGGGAGAGGACATGCAGGGTTGCATGAGTCTGGGTACAAATTCTCCCATTCTGTGCTCCTTAAATATCTCATGCCTGTGGTGTACATCATCTCAGCGAATCCTCACAGCAGCTTCAGGAGGGAGGAGTCATTGCTATCCTCATAGATACTCTGTTAAGCACATGAAGAAACTGAAGTTCAGATCAGGTAGTAATCTGAGCAGTCTCACAGAGCTAGTATCTGTCTAGTAGTCTCTCTTTCATTCTGCTTCCCATTCTGTAGGAATGCCCTTTCTTTCCCTCCCTCCCTTCCTTTTCCCCTTCTTCCTTTTCTCCTTCCCTCCCTCCTCTTTCCCTCCCTCCCTCCTTCTTCAGGCTGTCCCTCCCCCTCCACTTCCTTTCCCTCCCTCCCTCCTTTCTTTCCTTCCTGTCTCAAAAGAGAAAAAAAAAAGGAAAAAAGAGGAAGAAAGAGAGAAAGAGAAATGAGAGACAGGGAGAGAAGGAATACTCACTTCCATTCTCACTTTCTTTCTCACCTCCAGAGTCCATGGAACTGACACTAGCCAGTGCCCCCACCCTCAGGGCATGAGACAGAGTAAGAAGGAGAGTATTTCTACTTTAGGGTGGGAGTACAGAAGAGGCACATTTCTGACACTTACAAAATTAGTATATTGATGGGGAAAGGAGGCCAGTGACGGCCCAAGCCCTCAGCAGTGACCAAAGCCTGAATGTGGGGGTTTAGAGAGTCATGAATATACCAAGGACAGACTCTGCTCCTTACTGGCTTACTAGATGCTTAGTAAAGGTATGGAACTTACGTTAAAGCAGGCCTCAGCCACATTCTCACAAGTGGTGAATGACACAGTGTTGCCAGCATTGTCAGACTTTGATGACTGTGTATGACTATGGGTGTCATCAGGCAGAGGAAGTGTACCTTTTATCTTAAGGCTTGGATCTGTCCAACAATTTCAAACTGCCATGCACTGTTACACCCCACATGCACAAACTCACACATATTCACACACTTACAGACCCCTCACAGAGAGGATGATGTGGTGTGGCTGTCACATCACCAGCCACTGACCTAATTTGGCAGGTGGCCCCTTCATTCTGTGTTGCTCATAGTCTGACCTTTCAAAGACTTCATCCAGAGACAGAATTTCTCCAGATCGAGGACTATCCCTTGATCATAATGTAGAGACAGCCATCTCGAAATTCACCCCAGCTCCCACCTTACCCCATGTGAACCCATGCTTGGACATCTTAGAACTTTCCAGGTTGATATCTTTGTGGAAGTGACTGTTAGACAGCAGCAAGAAGAGGTATAAGCATACCATTGTGAGTTAAAATTTTTAGGGACTTTTAACAAGCTTTTTTCAATATTATTTGCAGATGACTTTGAGAATCTTTGAGGAATCCACTCCAACAGCTCAAGGTAATAATTTTTTGGTGTTACTTCAATCTGCTACAATCAACTTTATGATAGGATGAATAGCTCTCCATTCCCCTGCCTGATCCCTCCCATGCATCTCACCTCTTACCGATTCTATTCCACACATGCGTGAGAGCTGAAAGGTTCAGAATCAAACGTGATCACAACCTTATTTCTTCTTAATCTTCTTTTTTCCTATTTGAATTTTCCTTTTACTTCAATTTCTTCCCTTATTTATTTTTTACTTATAATGTGTTGTAAAGAAGCCATCTTAAGTCTTTTCTGGAACATGACAGGAAATAAAGAAAATGAGATCCTCCAATTTACCCATCTTCCTGCTCTGACCACAGCCAGACTAAGGCTTTCCTTACCCAAAAGCCCCTTGCTCTGTCATCCCTTCCCCAATGATCTTTGTACCTGCATGTATGTGACCTCATTCTATGGTTCCCACCAATGCTCAGCTTCCTATTTGTGGATAGCAGCCTATTCCATCCACACTGTTGCCCAGGCTGGCTTCTCTAGCCCTCCATCTGGCTTCTTGTGTTCTGGTTTCTCCCATTTCTTCCTGGTTCATCTTGTCAGCACCTTGTCATGGAGGCCTTTCCTGGACACCCTCCTAAGATAAGTTCCCCTGCATCCCATTATTTCTATCACAACTTATTCATCTCTTTATATTTTTATTTATTGTCTTACCTGTGTGATGCCTGCTTCCCTTCTAGATCGAAGGCTTGCAAAGACAGAAACTTGTCTGATGTGCCTCAGGCCTAGTACATTCTGACTTTCTCCCCCACTTCCTTACTTGCAGTAATTTTAGTGTTTCATGGGGATGGGGTAGAGAGGATAAAGGAGAATGATAGAAGGGGTGAATTTAACTAAGATGTATGGTAAGCACTATTGTAAATGTTTGTAAATGTCACAATGCACTCCCACTACAACAATAATATGATAATAAAAATCTGTGTGTATATGTGTATTTTTGTGGAGTTATAATTCATGAAACAAGTAATGAAGCATTTAAAAGTACATGATTTGCTGAGTGTTGTGGTACATGCCTATAATCCCAGCACTTCAGAGGCTGAGATAGAAAGATCAAAAGTTCAAGGTCAGCCTAGGGAACATAGTAAGTTCAAGTCCAGCTTGAACTACATGGTGAAGCACAGTCTCAAATAAACAAATTAAAAAAAAAAATCAATGTGAACAATTTGATATATGTGGTGCATACACAATGTTGTGCCCAAACCACCTCTCTACTCAAAAGATTCTAAATGCATATTTTTGACTAAATAAATGATTAAGAAAATAAAATTACTGAATTAAATTTGTCGCTTCTTTGGCAAATGTAATTTTTTGGTATTTGGCTCAGCAAATACTCCTTTCCCCATCCTAATGGCCAAATATACACAGCAGCCTGGCAGGAAAGAAACTTTTTTTTAATCCCTTCATCACTTGACAACCCCCATTTTCCTGTACTACACATGAAATACAAAACCTGGTCCTGGGATCTGAGAGGTAATCAGAATGTTTGACATACCACATGTTCTGATAAGGCCTGCCATATCCATGGACTGCAGTAGATATACAATGGTTTACAGTGTTGGAAGAACACATCCCAGCCCCTACTCTGTACACTAGAATGTATCCATGACATCCAAATGCATATATTCACAAGTTTCTTTCCAGGGAGGCATTAGCTGTAGCCAGTAGGAAATTTCCTCTCTTTAAATTTTGCTTTCAAAACTATGCTTTCCCATATCCTTGCAATGACCTCAAATGCAAATTAGATTCAGGTATTGAATATTTAAAAACAAAGTGTTAAGGGTTGGGGGCAGGGAAGTCATAAGTAATTTAATAGTCAAGGTTAAAGGTGAATGGACATCAACCTTGAAATCACAGCCTTGTGAGCTAATGTGCAATTGACTATGCATCTCCATACCACCTTTGGTATCCAGTATCCTGTAAGTTTCACACCTCCTTAACAGTTGATTAATTAATATGCTTGTTTTGGTAGCACATATACTAAAATTGGAATGATATAAAGATTAGCATGGCCTCTGTACAAGGATGACAAGCAAATTCATGAAAGGAAGCCTCTTCCACAAATGGTGCTGGGAAACTGGATATCCAGATATAGAAGACTGAAACTAGATTGTTCTCTGTCACCCTGTTCAGAAATCAACTCAAAATGGATGATAGACCTTAGTGTAAGATCTCTGAAACTACTAGAGAAAAACACAGGGAAAACATTTCAAGATATGGCATAGACAACGGCTTCCTCAATGGTACTGCAATAGCTCAGGGAATAAGAGCAAGAATTGACAATGAAATTGCATCAAATTAAAAAGCTTCTGAACAGCAAAGGAAACAATTGCTGTAAAAATACAGTAAAAACAAACAACAAAAAAACCCCAGCAAAAACACAGCCTGAAGAATGGGATAAAATCTTTGCTAGATATTCATTCTAGAAGGGATTAATATCCAGAATACATAAAGAGCTCAAAAAATTAAGTACCCAAAGAACTAATAATCCACTCAATAAATGGGAAAATGAACTGAAGAGATATTTCCCAAGAGAAGTACAACAGCCAATAAATGCATTTCTTAAATGTTTAACATTTTAAATGCAAATCAAAACTACAATGGGATTCTATCTCACCCTAGTCAGAATGCTACCATTAAGAAAATTAAAAACAAAACAAAACAATAAAGACTGGCTGACAGGGATGCAAGGAAAAAGAATCTTTATTCATTGTTGGTAGGAATATAAGTTAGTGCAGCTACTATGGAAATTAGTATAGAGGTTCCTCAAGAAACTTAAAATAGAACTACCATATGAACTATCTATGCTACTCCTGGTACATATCTGAAGGAATCTGAAGTCAGCATACAATAGAGACAACTGTATACCCATGTTTATCATGGCATTATTCACAATAGTCAAGTTATGGAATTAGCTTAGGTGCCCATCAATAGCTGAATGGATAAGGAAAATGTGGTATATTACACAATGGTGTATTGTTTATTCATAAAAAAGAATGAAATTATGTCACTTGCATGAAAATAGATGGAACTGGAGATCTTGGTGTTAACCAAAATAAGCCAGACTCAGAAACACAAACACTACATTTTTTTTCTCTTGTATGACATCCAAATTTTTTAAAAAGACATGAAATTAGAAAGGACTATTTGGGAAGAAGAAGGGGATTTGTAGGAGAGGGAAATTGGCTAGAGAGGGTGATGATTAGAGTACATTGTATATATGCATGAAATGTCATAAAAACTATTTTGTACAATTATACATCAATAAAAATCTTAAAAACAGGTTTTGCGCTATTCATGGTCTTCTAGAATCTGAATAAGTAAGAACACTGAAGGGCCAAAAGAATAATTTTTTTCACCTTCTCAGAAGAATCTTCTATGCATTGATTTTCTATCCATTCATCTATCCATCCTTCCACCCATCTATCATCTATCTATCATTCATCTCTCTCCATCTTCCTCATCTCCCCCCATACAGTTTTACAAGTTTCTCAGTTGCATTTTCAGGAGATTACTGGTTTTTTTAGTGCATTCATTTTTTAAAAAATTAATAATATGAATGTTAATTTATAACCAACACCAGATAGATTAAAGAGATTTCTCATTTTCTATTGATTCCTCTTCTATGAAATCTCATTTCTTTTGATTCCTCGTGCTGCCAGTCTAGATGGAGGCCTACTGTTGTCATCCTGATCAATTAGAATCACCTGGCAACCTGCTTGCTAGCCTCCAGCCCTCTCACCCTCTATCCAGCACACCTTACTGTCACATAAGTGGGCTTAGCGCACAACATGTGTCTCTTTGTTTTCCTGAACAATACTTTTCAGTCTCTCTGTGTCCTGTAATAGTACAAATCTCCTACCCGAATATCAGATCTTCTATGCTTTGGCTCCTCCCTCAAACCTGAAACTGAACTCCTTTTGGACCATGTCCCAGGAGTGTTTTGTTCATCTGCTTTCTGGCCTCTGTTTTAGCTGTCTTGCAATGTCTCTCTTCCACCTCTGTAAGTTCAATCCTGCCCTTCTTCATCTTATTTAAACATTTATCCTTGCACCTCTGACTGCCTTGAATTTGTCTATAATCTTTGTTCTTCTTCCTAGAAGGGTGCCTGGACATGATGGGCATTTTGGTTTATTGGAGTTAAGTGATTGAAAGGATCTTAGCACCATTTCCTCCACAAATCCTTCCCTGATCTCATCTCCCCCAATAAATAAGAATCTTTTCCTCCTCTGCATATCTGGTACCCCTGATTGCTATTTCTCACAGGTAAATTTTCACGTTTGAGTTTGTATCTTCCATGAAATAATGTAAGTTCCTTAAGAGCTTGGTTAGTGGAATCAACAGTTAATCTATGTAGCCCTGTAAGGCATAGGGTAATGTCTTGTCTTTGCCAATATTTGGGGGAGTTTTTATTCTTTTTGTGTGTGTGTGATTCATTGTTGCCAGTATATGTTTGCTGAAAGAATATAATTTATTTTAACAATCAATGGACGCATACTTGGGAAGTTTAAGTTGACTTTTTTAAAGACAGCAGTTTATTGGATTTTAGGTTGTTCTAAAATACTTTGGGTATTGGTCAATAATTTATTTTTTAGTGTAATCTAGTAAATCAGCGACATATATACTCACATACTGAATATTGTGACTGATGTCAATTCCTATTCCTTTTGTGGGAGTGGAGGGGAGGGTGTGGGAATGACTGTGGGAACAAGTTGTAGCATCCATGGACAATTGTTAGCATTGCTGCTGCTCCTTTAAAAACCGTAGTAACTAGTAAAGAAGAAAGATAATTAGATGAAAAGAATCGTCCCATTTCAGTTTTTTTCTATATTATAAGTAACTCAAAGTGGAAATTTGCCAATACGTGGTTATTTGCCCACTGAACATCACTCAACAGGATTATTACAAATCCACAGTCTTTAAATTTTTGTTTTCTTTTTTCTTTCTCTTCTTGAAAGAGGCCAGAATCTTTACTTTTGTTATATTCTATTTGGACCATACCTCCAAGATGCTGATAAATTATAATCCATGTTACTGCTATTCTTTCTATCTAAGGTACTTTTCAGATTAAATGTAATTTGAAGTAGATTGATTGTCATACTAAGATATGGACTGTTTTTATGAAGCCCATAGAATCAACTTTGGAAGCCCTGGGTGCTTCCAATGTGTGATGGGAACAGCAGTGTTTTTGAGAACAGAATTTGACAAATGCTGATGATTTTTTTTGTCACCTCTCTTTTAGAAAAACGACAAAGTAGCTCTTTCCCAGCAAGAGAAACAAGACCTCAGAGAATAGCAGCTCACATAACCGGGACCATTTCAGGAAGCAATTTATCCACGGTTTCATGTAAGACAAATAACAAACATGACTTAGGGTTGCGGATGTAGCAGTCAGTGACAAGAGTACTTGCCTAGCATGCACAAGGCCCTGGATTTGATCTCCAGTACTGGAAAAAAAAAAAAAAAGTCTGGATTTCAAAGGGAAGCCAAATGAGGAATTATTTCAAATAATGTTTTTAACATTTCTATGGCTATCTACAAAATTCTTTTTTTTTTGAAATAGAACACTCTCTTTATTCCTAAAGTACTTACTGAAATATCATTGATTAATAATACAATAATAATGACAATAATAAAGGTAATCACTGTGAAAAGCCAATATTTATTGAAAGCTATGTGCCACATTTTGGCTAAGTAAAATCTCACTAGACCTTTCAAATATTTAAATATTTAAAATATATTTAAAATATTTAAAATATTATGAGATATATACCATTTTCATCCTCAACTTATAAATGAGGAAAACACACCTCACAAAAGTCTAATATTTTTCCAAAGAATACCGTTGATAGAGATGAGTGATAAGTGATGATCTTTTAATTTTAGAATGCCAAAGTGCTTTGCCAAAGCTTTCCATTCTTTCTTGAGTTGTTCCCTTCATTACCTTTTCTAGAAAATATCATTTATGAAGCACCCTCACCTTACACATAACATCTTAATTGTCTAAAAAATATGTTGTTACATTAGTTAACCATAGATAGACAACAAGAAATTCCAAAGAGCCAGTGGTAAGGAATAGTAAGGATTTTTTTTTCCTTGCCCACAGGTTTGTGGATTGGGCTGAGAGTCAGCTGACATAGTTTGGGCTAATTTGGTGTTGGTTTCTAGTCAGAAGTCCTCCAGATAATGTTTTGCATGCCTTCCATTCTCTTCTTTTTGGTGTACTAGGCTACTTTGAGTAAGCATTTCACATGAGAATGACAGAAAGAGAAGAGAGCAAGCCTCCAGGCAAACAAAGATCAAACCTTTGCTATCATCAGGCCTAATAAAATTCCTCTGGCCAAAGTAAATTACATTTCTATGTCCGACACTAGAGGGTGAAGGCAATTATAAAGGAATGTGATGAAGGATGTGGATATAAAAAAAATAACAATTTAATGACATCGATGTGATCCATCACAGTTAACTATACTATTATTACAGATGGGGAATCAGAAGCTCACTTTGCTCATGAGCCTTGATTTTGGTTAACTGAAACAAGATTTTCTGTTTTGTCTCAAACAAAAAAGGCTGTCTAGTACTGGGAGATGTTAAGAAAGAAAAAAAAAAGGAAACTTGAGAGAGTTTTCTGGTTGCATTGCCCTAATCTTTCTCTGAATCTTTTGTTCTACCTCTTCTTGCTTTTACATACAGTACATATTCAGTAAATGTGCGATGATCATGAAACAGCCATCAAAAGCCCCAATTAAAAAGAGGCAAATGCACAAAAATGATAGTGTTGAGCGGGACATTTTTTATAGGCTTCTTTTCTCTACTAGTGGTGTTTATATAAAAGGAATTTTTTTTTCTTTTATTATTCATATGTGCATACAAGGCTTGGGTCATTTCTCCCCCTGCCCCCCCCCTCCCTTCCCCCCCACTCCCCCCCTCCCCCCCCCCTCAATACCCAGCAGAAACTATTTTGCCCTTATTTCTAATTTTGTTGTAGAGAGAGTATAAAAAATAATAGGAAGGAACAAGGGTTTTTGCTGGTTGAGATAAGGATAGCTATACAGGGCATTGACTCACATTGATTTCCTATGCGTGTGTGTTACCTTCTAGGTTAATTCTTTTTGATCTCACCTTTTCTCTAGTTCCTGGTCCCCTTTTCCTATTGGCCTCAGTTGCTTTTAAGGTATCTGCTTTAGTTTCTCTGCGTTAAGGGCAACAAATGCTAGCTAAGTTTTTTAGGTGTCTTACCTATCCTCACCCTCCCTTGTGTGCTCGCTTTTATCATGTGCTCAAGTCCAATCCCCTTGTTGTGTTTGCCCTTGATCTAATGTCCACATATGAGGGAGAACATCGATTTTTGGTCTTTTGGGCCAGGCTAACCTCACTCAGAATGATGTTCTCCAATTCCATCCATTTACCAGCGAATGATAACATTTCGTTCTTCTTCATGGCTGCATAAAATTCCATTGTGTATAGATACCACATTTTCTTAATCCATTCGTCATGGTGGGGCATCTTGGCTGTTTCCATAACTTGGCTATTGTGAATAGTGCGCAATAAACATGGGTGTGCAGGTGCCTCTGGAGTAACCTGTGTCACAGTCTTTTGGGTATATCCCCAAGAGTGGTATTGCTGGATCAAATGGTAGATCAATGTTAGCTTTTTAAGTAGCCTCCAAATTTTTTTCCAGAGTGGTTGTACTAGTTTACATTCCCACCAACAGTGTAAGAGGGTTCCTTTTTCCCCATCCTCGCCAACACCTGGTTGGTGGTGTTGCTGATGATGGCTATTCTAACAGGGGTGAGGTGGAATCTTAGTGTGGTTTTAATTTGCATTTCCTTTATTGCTAGAGATGGTGAGCATTTTTTCATGTGTTTTTTGGCCATTTGAATTTCTTCTTTTGAGAAAGTTCTGTTTAGTTCACTTGCCCATTTCTTTATTGGTTCATTAGTTTTGGGAGAATTTAGTTTTTTAAGTTCCCTATATTCTGGTTATCAGTCCTTTGTCTGATGTATAGTTGGCAAATATTTTCTCCCACTCTGTGGGTGTTCTCTTCAGTTTAGAGACCATTTCTTTTGATGAACAGAAGCTTTTTAGTTTATGAGGTCCCATTTATCTATGCTATCTCTTAGTTGCTGTGCTGCTGGGGTTTCATTGAGAAAGTTCTTACCTATACCTACTAACTCCAGAGTATTTCCTACTCTTTCCTGTATCAACTTTAGAGTTTGGGTCTGATATTAAGATCCTTGATCCATTTTGAGTTAATCTTGGTATAGGGTGATATACATGGATCTAGTTTCAGTTTTTTGCAGACTGCTAACCAGTTTTCCCAGCAGTTTTTTGTTGAAGAGGCTGCTTTTCTCCATCGTATATTTTTAGCTTTGTCAAAGACAAGTTGGTTATAGTTGTGTGGCTTCATATCTGGGTCCTCTATTCTGTTCCACTGGTCTTCATGTCTGTTTTTGTGCCAGTACCATGCTGTTTTTATTGTTATTGCTTTGTAATATAGTTTGAAGTCAGGTATTGTGATACCTCCTGCATTGTTCTTTTGACTGAGTATTGCCTTGGCTATTCGTGGCCTCTTGTGTTTCCATATAAATTTCACAGTAGATTTTTTCTCTTTAATGAATGTCATTGGAATTTTGATGGGAATTGCATTAAACATGTAGATTACTTTGGGGAGTATGACATTTTTACTATGTTGATTCTACCAATCCATGAGCATGGGAGATCTCTCCACTTTCTATAGTCTTCCTCAATCTCTTTCTTCAGAAGTGTTATAGTTTTCCTTGTAGAGGTCTTTCACATCTTTTGTTAGGTTTACACCTAGGTATTTGATTTTTTTGAGGCTATTGTAAATGGAATTGTTTTCATACATTCTTTTTCAGTTTGGTCATTGTTAGTGTATAGAAATGCTAATGATTTTTCTATGTTGATTTTATATCCTGCTACCTTGCTATAGCTATTGATGATGTCTAGAAGCTTCTGAGTAGAGTTTTTTTGGGTCTTTAAGGTATAGGATCATGTCATCTGCAAATAGGGATATTTTGACAGTTTCTTTACCTATTTGTATTCCTTTTATTCCTTCTTCTTGCCTAATTGCTCTGGCTAGGAATTCCAGTACTATGTGAATAGGAGTGGAGATAGTGGGCATCCTTGTCTGGTTCCTGATTTTAGAGGGAATGGTTTCAGTTTTTCTCCGTTAAGTATAATGCTGGCTGTAGGTTTGTCATATATAGCTTTTATTATGTTGAGGTACTTTCCTTCTATTCCTAGTTTTCTTAGAGCTTTTATCATGAAATGAATGTTGGATCTTATCAAAGGCTTTTTCTGCATCTATTGAGATGATCAAGTGGTTTTTGTCTTTGCTTCTGTTAATGTGGTTTATTACGTTTATTGATTTTCGTATGTTGAACCACCTGCATCCTGGATGAAGCCTACTTGGTCGTGGGATAATCTTTTTGATGTGTTGCTGAATTTGGTTTGCCATTATTTTGTTGAGGATTTTTGCATCAATGTTCATTAAGGAGATTGGCCTATAGTTCTCCTTTTTGGAGGTGTCTTTGCCTGGTTTTGGATAAGTGTAATACTGGCTTCATAAAATGTGTTTGGCAGTTTTCCTTCCCTTTCTATTTTGGAACAGTTTAAGGAGGGTTGGTATCAGTTCTTCTTTAAAGTCTGATAGAAATTCAGCAGAGAATCCATCAGGTCCTGGATTTTTCTTTTTGGGGAGACTCTTGATTGCTGCTTCAATTTCATTTTGTGTTATAGGTCTATTCAGGTGATTAATTTCCTCTTGGTTCAGTTTTGGATGATCATATGTATCTAGAAATCTGTCCATTTCTTTTAGATTTTCAAATTTATTTGAATATAGGTTCTCAAAGTAGTCTCTGATGATTTCCTGGACTTCCATGGTTTTTGTGTTATCCCCTTTTGCATTCCTGATTCTACTAATTTGGTTTTTTCTCTCCTCATTTTAGTCAGTTTGCCAGGGGTCTATCGATCTTTTTTCAAAGAACCAACTTTTGTTTCATTAATTCTTGTATGGTTTTGGTTTTATTTGTTGATTTCAGCTCTTATTTTATTATTTCTCTCCTTCTATTTGTTTTGGGATTTGCTTGTGTTCTTGTTTTTCTAGGAGTTTGAGATGTATCATTAGGTCATTGATTTGGGATCTTTCAGTCTTTTTAATATATGCACTCATGGCTATAAACTTTCCTCTCAGACTGCCTTAGCTGTGTCCCATAGGTTCGGTAGGTTGTGTTTTCATTTTCATGACTTCCAGGAACTTTTTAATTTCCTCTTTTATTGCATCGATGATCCATTCTTCATTAAGTAATGAGTATTTAGTTTCCAGCTGTTTGCATGTTTTTTGTCTTTACTTTTGTTGTTGAGTTCTACTTTTACTGCATTG